CAAAGACAGTTTGTATTAAGACATCAATTAAAAGACTGTGCAAAGAAATCATACTGGCTGACAATGTTTATGACTTGGAAAAAAAATACAGCATGGCTGTTCAAGATCTAAGCAAACAAAAATTAAAAACTTCTCATATCTATACTCCCCCACTAAAGGGTTTAATGCTACATCCCCCAGAAATGGGACGCACTCCACATGGGGTGCCCCTTCCTGGTGTCATTTGGTGGCTTCAGTCCCAACTCAGTGCGGGGACAGGCACAGATACAGGCAGTATTTTTGGGAGTGGAAGGAGGAGGCAGAGGAAGGAATATTAGAAATTAAGATATCTGGTGTTCAAACTCAGACAAAATATGCCCTCTTTCAATAGAAGTCTCTTTCAAGCTCCTTGGTTGCCCTACGAATGCTTCCTTTCTGTCATGAGAAAGGAAATTGATGGTTTTTGTTGGCCATGGGAGACTCCATGTACTCCAAAACGCTGGGAAATATGAGCTAGTGAGGAAATGTCAGAATTTGGAACTATCTGAAAGTTAAAAATGAACACATACGAAAACACTGCAGGACAAATTGTGCATACGATGGAGCAGATATGCAACGAGCAGATGACAACTCTGACTGCTCTTTGTTTTGGTAAAAAGAAAATTAAAGCTAAGATAATGCAAATCCTTTCCCCTAAAAAGCTGCAGAACCGCAGGCTGTCAGCAGTGCTGCAACCTCTGTAACTTACACACCCGCCAAAAAATATGCATGGCCATGCCAGAAACTCACAGTGAAATGGGTGTTATCACCTCTCACCTATCACTCAACCCAAACAACAAAAAGGTTACACATGAAGTAGGAAACACGTTATGGCTGGATAACAGTCTGGACCCACAGCACTACCACAGGGCACAGAGTTAGACCCCTAGTTCATAACCAGGCTCCATGCCATGCTCCCTGGCTGTTTTAACCTTCTCCAAAGTTCACAGATATTTCCACTGCACTGGAGACAAAAATCTATCTTCATTATTGTGTGTGTGTGTGTGTGTGTGTGTGTGTGTGTGGAGACAAAAACCTATCTTCATTATTTTGTGTGTGTGTGTGTGTGTGTGTCTGTGTCTCTGTGTCTCTGTGTGCCCGCGCATTCACAGATGCACAGAACGGGATTTAGAAGTCCCCACATGAAAATTTTGAAGATAGTTTTTGGTTTCTATTTGGACTGTTAGTTATCAGAGGAAAATGTCTCTGAACGCATTTGAACAGTGGCTAACCAGTGAGCACAGGCTGGTCTCCACAGCTATGGAGAAGAAGTATCCATGTGATCAGTGAAGATGTGTAACAAGACCCATTCCTACTTGCTTAACACCTCACGGCGCTATTCCTTTGAAGTCTAAGGCATATAGGAACTGCACGTCAGAAGAAAGTGGAAAAGTCTTCTGTCCAAGTATCACCCCATCAATTCCAGCTCTGCAAGTGATGGACATATCAGACTTTGAAGTGAGGTGTTTTTTGCTTAGAAAGACTGTGAAGAATGTTTTTGAAGGGGTTTTACATGTACTGGCTTTAATTTACCCTCTGAGCCTTTAATTTCTCCTTCCACACTTGTGATGGCAAGGGTATACTGCTTTAGAAGTGGAAACTAACAGAAATAATTCCACACTAATTTTCAAGCTCTCACAAAGTAGTAACTCTTGATATAAATGGGATCTATGTAATGGTATAGCTGAGAGACCATAAGAGTATGTATCTGCAAATACCTGAGTAATCATGCTATTTGAGCATGTACTCACTAGATATGTCGTGTTATCGGATACTTCTGGGATCAGCAGGATAGACAAGAGGACAGGAAACCGTTTTGATTTAAGCTCTTGAGGACATTGTAATCAGTATTATTTTTAGGTGTGGTGGGACCCATAGTCAATTTTGTTCTTTTCTCTCAGCTTGAGAAAGAGTTGTAAAATGCACACTAGCACATTCAAACTCTCTCTCAGCACAACCAGCATTTTTAGCTGAATGACAGTGTATCAAAACCTCAACCTTTTTTTTTTCTCTTTTGCCTCATAATCTGTTTCTCTCAGTCACTACTCATTTTACTTCTAGCTTGCCTTTTTCTCTTTTCTTAGTTACATGTTTTCACCCGTGTTTTTCATCAGTCATGCCTCATCCATACATTTTTACAGTGCTTTCTTGTTTTCATATCGTTTTGCTTTGCTTCCTTTAGGTTTCCATATTCCCCAGTTTAGTGCTCAGACCCTGGGGTTTGATCTGAACAACTATCATCCTCAGATGATCAGCTCCATCATGAAATCACTCTGACAGAGCTCTAACTGCCTCACAATAGCTTTGGCCAAGTCCCACAAGCACACTGTCAGCTGGTACACAATCCACTCTTCCCCTTTTTCCCAACAGCTGTCTTCACGGTCTCTGACTTGCCAGAGTCTTTCAGATGCAGAGCGCGACCTGTCTTTTTCCAGAGACTCTAGTTTAAAGCCAGCCAAGCTAATTTATCATCATCTGCTATTAGATCTAATCTTGACTTACTCTCTAGGGTAAAATCACCTTCTTACAGGCTAAAGAGCAAAAGTTCTTTCTTTGAGCCCAAAGGTGAGGTTACAGTCTTCTGTAGGAGTCTTCTCTCTAGGATATGGTAATAGCGGATATAAAACTTCACTCACGGAATTTCATTATTAGACCTTGACATCTCTATTGTTCTTTCTTTTGGATATCTCTAGCTCTGACAGCTTTTTGTCTTCTCTGCACTGCTACTATCTAACATAAATGATCTTACAATCATTTCACATATAGGTACCTTCTGTCTTTCTTGACCCTTGTTCTCCTATTTTTAACAATACCACCAAAAGGCACCTGCAGTTCTGCTCAGAGCATTTCTGTCTCTGTTCCCTATTTTTTATACTCTTAATGTTGGGTAGCACCAGTTCAAACCTGGTTCATGACCTGCCTGACCAGATTTAGAAACCGACACCTGAGCTAGTCAACCTGGACACTTTCAACAACACCAACATTTGAGGAGACTCATGACTTCTCCAACCTGGAGTGGAAGTCTAAAACCCGTCTTTAAGGGTGTCTGTTCTCACCTCTTAACAGTAAAGGGCACTGAGGAAGTTAGATTTTGATGTCTGCAGTGCAGGCTCCTAAAGTTGGATCAAGTTCATATAATGGCATAAAGCAGGCAAGCAGGAGACAGATGCTCATTTCATTTAATTAAAGCTAAACATGGAAGAGGATACTTCTCAGTGTGACATGGCAGAATAGATGGATCTAAAGTCAGCTCTTTGTGCTGACCACCACTAGTACACTACACACACAAAACTTCCTCACGTCTTTACAGAATGCTCCTACATGTGAGGGAGAGATGCAAGAATATACTGCAAGAAAATGTTATTTCAGTGCAACAAGAAATATTTAACGCAAAGAACTGGTAAAATCATGCAGAGTGCAGCAGAAAAAAAACATATAAGACGCACAAAGAATTAAATTCATAGTTTGTCCTTTGGACACACTCTTTTTTTCATATGAGAGGGCAGTAGTCTAGTTTTTCCATCTGGCGTTGAGACACTACCTTATTACATGTCCTACATCCTACAAATAAAGATATGATCTAGAAAAAGCATGACATTAATGATCATTTTTACCATAATAAGCATATTATCCTCCTCACCTTTCTATACACTCCTTCACAATAGCAAAATTTCCATCTCCTATAGTCCTTCCAACTTTGTATCGCTCTGCTATCGATGCTGGAACCTGGAAACCTTCCTCCAACACTTCTGAAAGAATCATTAGTGCATTTTTATTGTTAGTGAAGGAAACACAGATGTTGCACATAACATGCATTTTAAGTCAATTGTTTAGGAGCCTGGAAACCATTCAGAGTCAGTATCTCACTTACTGTACAGTGAAACCATGCTGCTGACATTGTATATACTCAACAGGTTTCACACAGATACGATAATGAAAAATAAGACTTCTGGGGGCTCAAACATACCACCATTTGAGTGTCACATAGTTTACCATTCCCATTGCAATATGCCCCCAGGACAAAACCAAAATTGTATTTTTTTAATTATGAAAAGGCCTCTGTGATCTGCACAAGCGCAGACCAGCCTCCAAAAAGGGTTGGAACTCCTTGACACAGCATGATTAAATATATGTACCAAAGAAGTCCAACACTCAAGCACTTATTTTATTACATCCTGTAAACTGAGACATCCATAAAACTCCTCATGTGCTAAGTGCTAGTTCTCCCCCTCCCCCAATATTAAATATTTAGTTTTTAAACAAATGTTCTCAATAATACTACCTCGCGTGCAACCTGGGCACCAGATGTTTAGGTAAAATTGCATTACAGTGTCTAAGCATAAGAAAAGTTTGTAGTTTCATGTGTTTTAGTGCTCATTCATGTACCATTATTTTTAAATGTATCTGAAATAGCGTGTTACAAATACTTAACATGCCTCTAAAAGCTGACTGTAAACTGCAGCTGATACAAACTCCTACATAAATACCGTACAATAAAAAAAATGCCTTTCAGAAATGTGCCTTGAATTTACACTCTTTAAGATGGCACTTTTAGATGTATCTTTATCTGTCCTTTGTTCCCGTTTAGTATTAAAAGTGAATGTTATGATTGAAGGAGGCTGGAGTTTTCCTGAATTCATGGGCAGCGTGAAGTTACTGTCAGACAGGAACATACACGCACACTTACATGTATGCGTGCGTGAACTGGCAGCATTCCAGCAGACACATGCACATCTCAGCCAACTTGCTCAAAGCCTAAGTACAGGGTGAGACTAATCATTTTTGAGTAAAGACGCTGGACTGCTGTATGTTCTTTACTACCATGACAGATGAGACAAATAATTACTGAAATAATCCAGTCAGCACTGTCTTACCTGCAGAACTAGTTATCTCGAGTATCCTGCAACAAAAACACCTCTGAATAGCGATGTTCAGATCAAATCTGATCCAGAGTGAACCTAACTGGCTTGCTAAGACTGGTGAGCCTCCTCACAGAGAGTCATCCAGCCCGCAACACTCCCACCTTCTCTGGCAGGAAGAATGACTCATTTCCTACACAGCTGCTGTTATCACTACACTGACTGCTTTGAAATGTCAGCCTTCAAACGTTACCTTCTGCAGGTCCATCATTTTCATCCATAGAGCTGCAAACTTTGGTGGATGCTAATGAGGTAGAGGAGCCACTGTGTTGGGAGCTCTGGAAATGGAGAGACACAAATGAAAACAGATGATTTTTAAGGAGCATGAGTACCCGCAGCACGTTCCTGCTGGACATACGTCCTGGAGAAGCTTCACTGTTCCCCATGTAAAGTACCAATTTATTTTGGTGGAGGGATGTGTGGATGCTTGGGAAGAGTCCAATTTTCCCACTGAAATTACACTTCTGTTACCCCTGCATACACAGAGTTATCCTTGATCCATTGTGTGCAGCAACGTGCAACAATTTTATGTATGGTATATTAGTTTCTCCCTATTCCACACTCATTTTGGCAGGGAAAACTGAGGAGATGTATGCCCTCTGCAGGCAGGAGGCTGTTTTCTCAGCTACATCGTTAACCCAGCAGGCACCAGAAGCATGAACGTCTGTTTTGACTGAAGTTGGCTTTGTTATGGGCAGAATTCCTCACTTCTGCAAACCTCCCTCTGGTGAAATCCTCCCCGGTTGTGTTCTAGAAGGGAGAAATCAATATGGTAATGTATGGAGAAAATAAAGTGTCAGCGTGAATAACATTTGCATTTTTGAAAAAGCATTTGATTGGGTATAGCTCACCTGAGGCATGAGTCTGTACCTTGGTTTTAAGTACTTGTACAGCAAGTGTCTACGTGTGCCTACACAGTTAATGGGGGGAGGACGGTATCTCTATAGCCTCTAGAAGGAGACTCATAGCCACCCAACTTGGATGCCAAAAGTATAGCAGGCAAGATCTCACTAGGGAAGCCTTCCAAAGCAGCTATCAATGTCTATCAGTTGTGTATGGACTGTAGGCATGTACTTCGGGAAGACTGCTTCATCACACATCTAGATGGATGAAACTACACAGACATACGAGATGGACTGGATTTCACCCAAAACTTTTATCCTGTGCTGTGTTAACCATTATAAAAACATATCTTTTCAGGATTGTCCCATCTTCAAAGGAAACCAGAAGAAGCTGCAAATGTAATAGTGACCCTTTAAACTTACAGCAAAACTGAGCATTTCCTCAGGTCCTCGTGTTGCAACATTAAGTGAGAAGTATTCAGAGGATTTCCAAAACTAAAACTTTCTCAGGTTCACATAGTTTGCATGCTGAAAGGTTACAAAGTGCTGCAGCATTTAATTACCTCCTTCAATCTATATATTGCATAAATTGCAGGCTGCACTGCATGTAACTAACGCTATTGGTTCCTTATCTGTATTTGCAAGGTATCTAGATGCCCACAGTCAGGGTGCCAATGCACGTTATAAATTTAATACAGCTTCTTCTGAATTATCTCTCTCCTCTGCCACCGCAGAGCACAGACGATGGCTGAGCAAAGAATAACTAACAATGCAGCTGTTGGGATTTTTGCAGAGTATGGAGCCAGGGACAAGGCAGTCAGCAGAGTTAAAAGCTGGCCAGGATGCTGAGTTCAATTGAACAGACTAACTTTTAATTTCTTGTACAATAGATTAAGGTCAGATGGTTTAGGCAAAGGCTGAACTTGGCCTATTTTTCACTAAATAATCCTGAGAGCTTGCACAACCCATCTACCAAGAGATTCTTTGCCCTTTTTTCCTTTTAATCAACCCCAGCTCATTCTTTTCATCCAGCCAAGCATTTCTTCTGAGCTTTTACCAGAATTAAAAATTGCATTAATCAGTTTTTGGACTACTTTTGCTGCCTCTTGACAACAGAAGTGAGCACTGACTGATTTTACGCAGTTCATTAAGATATTGCTGCCCTTGTTTCATGATTAGGATGTGTTTATGTATGTGCTATTCCTGTTCTAAACTCTGCTGGATGTCTCAGTAAAAACTTACCTCTGGTTCATTTTTGAACAAATGAGCAGATGAGGATCAAGGAAGGTAACAGGAAAATGCTAGGCATTCTCATGCATGGAAAAGTCACTCTCAAAGCCTATTTTTATACACATGTAATAAGAGAATTTCCTTTACACTCCTGCTTGTAAAATAAGCAGAAAAACATGTTTTCTCTACTCATTCTGCTGTGTCTGTTTGTTTTCCTAGACCAGGCATCCAATTCCTTACTTCTTTTCTCACTCCACAGTATATTCTTAAAGGAATTACAACTTAAATATGTTTAATATTTGTTACATATACAATCAGGAATAAATCGTTAACACATTTAAAAGGGGTACAACACAAAAAGGTTAGTGCTAGATTTTCAGTAGATTGTCAAACAACTACTTTATTCAGTTTTTTGCATTTTAAACAGTGAGATTACACTTTTCAGCAGATGTTAGGTCAAAACAGCCAACTACACACCACTGCAGCTTCCTTTAGCAGTCTGACAGGTCCTGAGCCTCGCACCCATTGTTCTCGCTCATGAGAATGGGAGATATGAAAATCGAGACCTAACTCAGTGGCCACATCTTCTCAGAATGGGTGCCTAGAGAGACTCAAATTTCTATTTGGGAACTTAATTTCTTTAGGTGGGAACTGCAACTGCTCAGTCCTTCCAAAACTAGACTCCTTCGAGGGCCCATTTCAGGAAAGCACTTCAGCAAGTGCTTCAGTTTAAACTCAAATAGTCTTAATAGCCTAAACACAACTGAAATTAAATTGACTCCTAAATATCTATCTTAGGTATAGCTCCCTAAATATGTATTTAGCTTCCATTTAGTTAAACAAACTGAAAATAAAGTGGCCCATAGAAAAATTTAGAGGAAATAAAACATAAGTAAGAGATCAATTTTGTAAGTGCTCCTTTTTTTTTCTTATTGACGCTACATAAGGGTAGGGATGGGAAGGCTAAGATGATATTCATAACTGAGGAAGAACTAAAGTGATGCTTTAGTAGCATATACTGTACCACAGGTCTGCAAACAAAGCATACAGCCCCTTCAGAGAGAGCTGTGTGCAAAGCACCGGCATGTGAGCAGAAGCAGAACTTGCCGGTGACAAGGAAGGAGTAGCTAAGAAGACATTTGCTAAAATACTGATTTTTAAAAAACTTTTAACTTTAATTTTTAAATCTAATTGAAAAGTATGAAAAAAACACATATGTTTCATTACCTTTGCTGAACCCCTCTTATTAAAACAACAGATTAAAGAGAAATCAGGAACTGTACATTTGCAAATATTAACCAAGTCTGCTGATGGACCCCCTTTCACGATTAAAGAGACATTACTAGGTAAACATGACACAAATATTTTAATCTTTATTCAGTCCTCTGGAACAACACCCAGGCTTATATTTATTTATCTTTACGTCAGCTAGAAGGACATTCCATTTGTTTAGATTTTAATTAGCTCATTGTTCTCACAAGCTGAAAGCCCTCCAGGTCCAGCAATCCTTGCGGGTCTCAGTGTTCCTTCCAGTTGGCTTGCCAGTCGTGAGGCAGTCCGTCGTGCACGCTGTTGCTCTCACAGCTGTGGACCCCATCGGGGATATTTCAGATGGGGAGGAGGGGGAAAACAAACTCTAAGCAAGAGCATAATCTCTTCAACACACAGACCTTAATGCAATTAGCTGTTTTAATTTTAAGAGATGCTGAGGTGCTTGAAATGTCATCACTTTTACACAGATTTAAAGGGGTCCAGTTGCACAGGTTGCCAGCACATGGCCATTTTTATGGCACACCTCCATAAAAGTGATGGCATAAAAAAATCAGGTCTTTGGTGTAAGGATTTCAGATCCTATTCAGGTTTATATAACAGATGGCCAGCACACCACATATCTCATTGATGTGAATGGAAACATTACCGCTATAGAGTTTCATCCATGTCTCACTGGGAGATTTATTTAGCAACTGTTTTGTAAATAGTTTGTATCTCAGTGGAAATTGTGCTAAATCCATGAAAAAAAAGGCAGTAAAATAAATATTACTGTAATTTCTCTCTCACCATTGTCCTAAATTAATCTTAAAATCCCACTCCAACTAAACAGCGGGAATTATTCTTGTGGACTACCAGTATCAGCATCTATGAAAAGAAACTTAAACAAGTATGACTAGGAAGTTTGTTAATGCAATTCAGATTCCTGAATCTTAAACCCCAAACACTGCAAACCTTTATTAGCGCATATGGAGTCTACAAAGCCTCTCAACAATAGATTCCTTTGTATTTTCCTAGCATGAAGGAAGCATCTGGATGAAATGTGAGTAACAGAAATGCACACAGGTGTAACGTTAAGTTTGGATCTCATGCAGAGTTCTGCTCTTTTAGAAATGGGCTTAATGAAGCAAAGATTAAAATTAGTAAACAAAGTGTAAATTCATGAAGGAGCTTCAGGATAAGGGAATTATTAATGTCTTTAAATGATGCCTACTAAGTCATTCCCTACTCCAAAGAATTTTACGGAATTTAAAAAACATACAAAAAAGCTGCGTGTGTAAGATTAAATAAACAGCATTAAAACCAAAACTAAACAGTTAAGCAACCATGCTCACCTTTTTTGGAGCCCATAGTAGTGTGTTCATTCTGGTTATAAACACCCTTTGTAAGGTAGTCATCATGAATTCCTGACATAGTCAATTCCTTAGCCTAAAGATCATCACAGTTAACAGTAAAATAAAGACAACAGTCCAGTGCTAATATTAGCTTTGAAGGACTTTGAAGGGCTCAAAAATTTCCTGTAATATGTAACAGTGTTAAGCAAAAAATAAACAAGTCAATACAACAAAATGGTACATCTCCAAAGAACAAAAGGTAAAGCAGAGGACAGCTGGTTTAAAACAGTTAAATAATCATAGAATCATAGAATGGTTAGGGTTGGAAAGGACCTTAAAGATCACTAGAAAATAATTTTGATATAACTTTTAAGAAGATAAACTATTTTTTTTTAATGATTCCATTTAGAGAGAAGCAAAGGGTTACACTGAAACTCCCTCTCCCAACTCTTAAAAAGCGAAAAATGTTTTTTATTTTCTTTTGATTAATTGCTTACATTTTTTGGCCCATCCAGCTGAGACGGGGAGAAAAGTTTTAATGTAAACAGTACAGAGCTGGCAAAAAATTACTGCATGAAGAAACATCAAATCCACAATCTTCAT